GAATAGAAAAAACAAATAATAATTGAAATAAAAATGTAAATATTATTATTGATTTTTAGAAATATTTATAAATAAAGCTTTTAAATAACAAAACTAATAAATCCTTAATTATGAAATTTACACTACAATTTTATTGAAAATAAATGAGATGTATATAATAATATATTATTAATAAAAATGTATTAAAAAGATCTCTCTCTCTCTCGTCTTTATTTATGATTAAAACATTAATCAGGCTGGACTTCGAGTATAATAAAGTTTATAGTCATCCATACTACTTACGATAATCTTTTACAAAAGAGAAGTTCGTAAAGACATCAAAAATAAATTAAGTTCTATTTTATCTGTTTTAACTTAAAAAAGATCATTTTTTATTTTAATATTTTGAAAAAAATATTAAACTATTGGAATATATAATTTATATTAAAATTAATATTTCTATCTTTTCATTAATCGTTGAAAAATTTTAAAATAATCGTATGATAAAAATAAAAGTGAAATATTATGCTTATGTTAATTAAATTATTATTACGTAGACATGGTTAATTCTGAGCAGTTTTGAGAATAGAGTCCGTCAATCTCCAATCGGGGCTTTGGGAAAGTTCAAAAATAGTCGAATACACGGTGATAACTCGGCGCATGTTTTAACCTTGAATTTTACTGTTTAATGAATGTTAAACGTTAATTGATCTCCATTTTAAAACAAATATTTAGTATTATTTCAAAGTAAAATATAGAAAATGGCTTCTAAGGTTACATTGTGCCAAGCATTAGGTACAGATGGAAGTGATTATAATCATAGACAAAAAGTAGCAGGGCAGTATCGAGTCAGGTGAGCAAAATCTAAATCTCATCATCCATGCTTTTGTTGATTAAAATAAGCATATGCTTATTAAATCCAGGGGGGAAAGTGTGATCTTTATATTACTTAATAATTATATCAATTGTAGTATTCTTTTATCCGTATTATTGTATAATTCGACTAAATATTAGTTTATATTTTATATGTACAAAATAATGCCTAAATAATTCATTTTAAATTTATTTAAGATTTACTTGGTTGTTTTTTATTCGTAATTTTAAGTTTCTAAAATTGCAGCAGCATACATTTTTTAAAATTAAAAACTTTTAATGATATTTCTGATCGTAATGATGCTTTTATAAAATAATGAAGATATCAATTCCTATTTGAATCTTGTAAATGTACTAAGAGTTTACAAATTGCCAATGTATATAGATTGCATATATTGTGCACAGTATGCCCTTGTTTCCATGAGTATACCTATTAATAGCAGGAGGTTTTGCCCTTGGGAGTCTAATGTTTTCTGATTTAATTTTGTTTTGGGGTTGTGTTTATATATATGTATATATAAAAGTGAAAAAAAACCTATAATCATCAACTATCGTACAAATATTTTTATGTAATTAGGAATAAAAAAGTATTCTATTATAATGTGTATAAAAAAAAGAAAAAAAAATGTAATTTTATAATTATAGTATTTTTTGTTTCACGTTTTTAATTTTAAGAACATTTTTGTACTTATTATTTTAGGTATAATAGAAATAGCGTTGAGAACTTCTGTGTTAAGTATTACTCTATTTTGGTAGAATAAAACAATAAAACTTTTATAAATATGTCACATATTTTTTATATATAAATATATATATATTCTCTTTTCAGTGCGACGAACAAATCACGATTAAAGTATTGCATATTTTTTCACTACCTTCTTTTCTTTGTTATGCTTGCCAAATTGTCAGCAGACATTTTAGATAGGCTTGATATTTTTATTCTGGAAATAGAGGAATTATTGATACCACAGGTAAGCTTGTGTATACATATTTTTTCTTTTCTTTTTTTTTAATAACGTACGACCGTAGTTATTACATATTCTTTTTACCATATATTCAATTTCATTGTACAAATATGGACCTTTTTTTTATGTCAGCCATTGTGGTGGGAATATATATGGTGCTCAAGTTTATTACTTTCTTTCCTTGCATTATCAGCTATTAAAAAGAATAAAGTAAGGATACTTCAACGATATATGATTGGTCTTGTTATATTGGGTTATGGATCAATTCTATATGCTATGGTTTACTATTTTAAAGATGTTTGGACATATTTAACTGTTGGTAAAGCAGAAGATATTCAACTGTGGCAGGTAAATTATTTATTTAGTCAATTAAATTGAAGTAATGTAAAATATCATCGAAGTTTGTAATATATAACTGTTAGATCAGAATCAATTTTTCAATCTAACTTAAGATATAAGATTAATATATTTGTACTTTAATATTATATAGATATATACATATATATGTATATCTATAATTATGTTTTATATTATTATGAAAATTATTTCAGGGTCTCCCATATGGAATGTTATGGTATGCGTTTATTCTTTTAGCTTCTCAAGTTCATAGTTTTTCTTTATATTTTTCATGGAATCTTATAATAGCTTGGAAAACACGTGGTGGTAAAAAATTACAATAAATAAATAAGTGAAATAATAAATTTTATCTTTATTTATAAATAACATCCATTCAAACCCTAAAAAATATTTATAACAAAATTTGAGACCTCACTATTTGTAGCAATAATTGTCTTTTCATTTTACTTCATAGAAATTTGAATTGAATATATGTATTAATTGTGCAAATGTAATTACATAATTCATAACTAATGATAGCATGCATTGCATTTTTAAATTTTCTCTTACGATTTGATAACTTTTTATGAAAATACTTAAGTTTTGTATATTTGTATATGGTTTAGCAAATCAAAAGCTGTTATTTTAAGATTTTTTATAAAAATACTTAGAGAATCTGAGAAGTATTTAAATAAATAAAATATTTAAATTAGGATTAAATATTACAACATATTCATTACTTTCTAAATATATGATAAATCTACGTCAAAGAAGTTTCATTTTGATTTTTAATCTAAATGTTATTGGCCAATACACTTGCACATTAGAATAAGTTTAAAAAGCTTTAGCATATTATCTGTTTGTTCGTTCACTTTACTTAACCTCACAAGTTTATTCACTGATAAGATAAACACTAACAGTGGAGACACTTTTCTTCTGTTGTTCAAATAGCTTTGTAGTTTGTACACTGTCCATAGCTGTCGCTAAAATCGCACCACAGATGATAAACATAACCTTATAAAGCTGACATAAGGGGTGCGTTCCACTAAGCGCTCACAACGATCACGCTCACGACCACAGTTTTTCCCGTTCCACTTACCTACGAGCGTTACTGTCGTAAATTCAAGTGGAATGGACTATGGTGCGTTTTGAGCGTGGAGGTAATAATACAAATGGCGAGGTAGTGAAAAGAAAGTAAAAGATTAAAGAGGTTAAGATTTAATCTGTAATCCTTCATGTCAGTTTCATGGTCGCCATTTTTATTGTTGTCAGTTTCGAAAAAACCGCTAATTTTCTCAACGCTCACTACGACCCACGTTTTCAGATGGGTCGTTGTGGGCCTCGCGTGAGCGTTAGTAATGACGTCATGAGTGACGTTTTCGCCGCGACCACAACGACCGCGGTCGTTATGTGGAACGACTAAAGGAGCATTTTGATCGTTGTGAGCGCTTAGTGGAACGTACCGAAGACCATTATACGAACTTTGGCGCCAAAAAAGAACACCTATTTTTCATCGATTATTCGTATGAGATGTTACGTTGAAGCCTTCATTAATATTAATAAATTTAAAACAATTGTGAATTCTAAGTATATTTAATCATAGTTAAGTGAAAATGAAATTAAATTGTCGGGTTGAAGTTAATGATCGTACCCTCAATGTGTTACATTCATCGTTAAAAAGAAAACCAGAACGTGGATGTTTGGTTATTGGAAGACAGTCAATAAAAAACAATGAATTACATATTTTATTACAAACGCAGAAGTACTTATGTGGGGCTAAATATAAGGTAATATTTCTTATATATTTATGATAAAGTTCCATATATATTTTAAAATTTTTAGGTGAATGATAACATTGAGATGATATTTGACAAATTCATTGCAAATGGAAAAGCAACAATTAGAATAAAAAACCCTCCTCACGATTTACTCATACAAAGCGATCCAATATCATTAAAAGGTTTTATTCATCTTGTAAAGCTTATATTGTCAAAAAAAGTTAATTTATCCACCATTACGATATCTAATTTAAATACAAAAAAAATTCCTAATGCACAGAAAAAAAAGCTAGTTATCAAAAACAATGTTGAATATCCTACTTTAAAGGGTTTTCCAAGATATACAGAAGAATTAATCATTGAGAGATTAAATAGAAAGTCATTTGATCTTCAAATTTTAAGACTTAATAATTTAAAAGTTTTAAATTTATCAAACAATCAAATTAAATCTTTACCTAAAGATTTAGGTTCTATGCCACATTTACAAGAGCTTATTTTGTCTGGAAATCGATTTGGCATAGATGCTAATACTAAGTGGGATTGGTTAGACCAAGACAATATTAGAAAGAATTTATGTTTATTAGATTTAACTTCCAACAGCGTAAGTTAACCTTTGTTAATTTCTATAATCTTATATTATAAAACCAAGGAAACTTAAGTTCATTTTTATTTATTAATTCTAGTTAATTAAAATACCAGATAAGATAGGAAAACTCCATGGTCTTGTTAATTTAAAACTTGGTATAAATTTGCTAACGGTTTTACCGCAAAGTATGAGAAAATTAACTTCGTTAAGATATTTGGACTTATCCAATAACTGGTTACAGTATTTACCAGAAGGAATAAGGAAATTACAACTCTCTGAAATAAATATAGCTGGAAATCAATTTACAGTAGTTAGCAAGTCTCATTTTAAAAATAATCTATTAGTGCCATCTCTAGTTGAGTCTGCAGCAAAAATTATTTTGAGCACAAGGTTTGTTATATATATATATTTTATCATTATAATTAGAAATATTATTTTGATTTAAGTAATAATAACCGATAATAGTTAATAAAAATATTATTTTTCTAGTATGAGCTATGATGCAAGTATGATACCTCGTACATTAGTCAAATATTTAGATTCTGCAACATATTGTTTATGTGGTAAAGCTTGTTTTCAAAGCTATATAAGAAATATATTCTATTTAACATTAAATTTATCTGTAGTAAAGTATACACTTAAAGAATTTATACCATTTGAATGTTATTTTTGTTCTTTACGTTGTTACGACCCTTATTGTAAAATATTATAAAATTATAAAAATTATACTTTGAAATTATACTTTTTTTGTATTTGCTTTTCATGACTGACATATTCTGTCATGTTTTGTATAATTTTCTTTACATATAAAAATGTTGTAATTCTTTTAATGTATAAGTAAAATAAATTTTCAATTTCCATTTTAATCTGTTGTAATATATTTCATCTATTTTATTTTGCATGTTTGATTTGGTTTTATATAAAATTAAAATACTATAAAAGTTTTATAACATCTATGATACAAATGATAAAGGATACTTTTAATATGGGAGAAGTGTATACTAAACCATTTCAATACTACTAGTGAGTGTAGTTATCTATAGATATTTAGCACTAGTTTAAAATTTTTTAAATCTAAATATTTTAAAATGCATTACATTGTAATATTCAATTCTTTATTTACTTTGCGATAAAATTTATGTTTGTGTTGTAACTGGCACATACAGTAGAACTTTATTTAAATTGAAAGTATCTGTATAGTGGAAGCGTACTTACGAATGACAAACCCATATCGAAAGGTTTAATTATAATGAAATTAACAATAATTTAATAATAATTTTATATAATGATAATTTTTATACTTATACTTGTAAGGTAAAATTGATATGAATAATATAAGATATATATATATTTATATGAATAAAAATACTTTTTATAACCATACAATACTATAATTAAAGGAGTAATAGAGTTTATTATTTATTTCATTATTTGTATTACATTGTCTTCGCGTCCACATGGATAAATTATTGTATCACAATCATCAAATATAATTTCTAAAACATATTTAGCTTACAAATGGTTATAATTTAAAAAAATTTTGTTGTCTTCTCATTAGTCTTATTTATATTAATAGTTACTTAGTAATATAAGTTCTAATATCTAACTTTTTAATATCACATTTCGTACATTATAAATTTCGCGTGATTATTTTTACAATATCATTTTTATTATATTTAATATTCTTAGACAAATAAGCATATTTAATTATAAATTTATGAATGTATTTTTTGATTAAGGTTTACTTATAACAATTATTTCTTTTCAACATTTCTTTTTGCAAACTCAAATGACACCCGGTTAGCATTATTAATATAATATTGTTTTGCGGTAAATGTTTTCTTTACTCCGAATATCTCTACATCAGTATGCTTTTTTGAATTATTCATTAGTTGTAATGGATGCAAATATATGTCTGGATCATCTGGAAGCTGTACTAGATGATATCCAGCAGTCATATCTTCAGTCTAATAAAAATGAAATAATTTAGTAAAATTTATTTTAGTTCAATTTCAATTCTTAACTATTTACTGTTATTTTTTATATTATAAAATAATTTTATATTAATAAACAATTAAAAAAAAGCACAAATGGCGTTTACCGTTTATAAAGTAGATTTAATTCACAGTAGAAATTGTAGCAGATTTTTAAAAGACAGTAGATTTATTTATTGGATAGGAAAACTACTAATAAAAAGAATAGAGGACGCTTAACTTTGCGAATAGCTCTATTATGTTAGGTGTAACTTACAAATAATGTTATAAGAAAAATGATATTATAGAGATTAGATTATTTTATATATTTATACCAGAATAAATAATTAATTTATTTTACGAGAATTCAAAATTCTTCTTAAAATATATTGTTACAATATATATTTATTTTTACAAAATGTATTTTCACGAATTAATTTATGTTAAATAAATTTATTTAAAATGTGCTTGAAAGTAATTGAATTTTTTTAAATGAAATGAAAGTAAAATCTTTTATGAATTTACATATGTTTCAAACTTACCTTGTAATTAAATTGATCGTAGAATGTTCTATATTCTACAATTTGTTTTTTAGGCTTTTGTAAATCATTTATTGTTATTTGTTTATTGTTCAAAAGTCCTAAGATTAAAGCATTTTTTGAGAGTTTACACTGCCTTAAAATTTCTTGAACAGAATTAAAATCTTCAATATCTTCTGTCCTTTTCTTTACTTGGTTTGTATTACTATTTTGTACATTTGATAGTCCTGTGTTTTGTATATTCGATGGCTCGGCATTATTGCTAAGACTAGAGTATGACTTACAGCTTGACTTATTGGCGTTAATCTTTTCTGTACAGAAATTTTGGTTCATTTGTTTTAATCTCCACTGGCGTTCTAGAAATGTATTAGAGTAACTAATTCCACGATTTACCTATATTTATAAAAATACAAATAGATTATCATCATTGTATATAATACAGAAACTATAATTTATGGATATAAAATATATTAATTATTAGAAAATACTGTATACTTAATAAATATATAAAATAATATTACACTTACAGCTTTTATAGAAGACAAGATTTCATTTTCATTTATATCATATAGCAAATTATTATCATTTGACTTAAATATAGTATTTTCTTCCAATAACTGAAGATAAAGAAAATATTTATAATTAGTTTCTCAAAATTTAATATAAATATCATAAGAGGTAACTATTTAACATTTATTTGTATTTTTTAAATCTTTAACATTATATTATACAGGGTGTCCTGGGATTTATTGAGATGAAGTATGTCAAATGCTTTGTATAGGAGTATTATCAACAAAGCTTAAGATTTTGTCAGAATGTTGTCGATGTTTCAGACAACACGAATGAACATCATGATATTCATTCCTAGGTCAAAATGACCCTAAATTGCACAATTAGAAATGGGTATTAATAAATAGAGAGAGATGTGGTACCGTTCCTATGGAAAATTTGCTATTTGTTTAATTTGTTATCTATTTCAATTTCATAGGTTTATAACTTTATAATAAAGCGTTTCTCTCTAATCTAACTTCATTCTATTTTTTTCTTATTTTCACTCGTAGGATAATACATTTCAGGACACCCAGTACAGTCCTAAATAATACAATAAAGCCCATTTACTGCTATTATAGAGCTGTATATTAATATGCATATAATATGGTATTATATAATAAAGTATAAATAAAAAGAATATATGATTTTAGCTTACCTTTACAATTTGTGGTTCTTTAACATTGTTTAAAGTATTGTTATGGTCAAACCAAGATGTGTCAGGTTTATTAAATTGAATAAAATCTTCTTCTTTGTCTGTTATTGGTAAATGAGTAGTTTTTATAATAACATTATGTAAGTTTACGTTATTCATCTTAGTATTATTTTATTAATTTTTTACACGATTTTATAACAAATGTAGTAGCTTCTGTAAAAATAATACCACAGAAATACACAAATATTTATATTTCATATTTTATTCAATGTATTATTATTATTATACATATATATGTACATATATTTGTATATTATTATTTATAATAATTTCTATTATATTTATAAATATTATGAAAAAAAGAAAAGAAAAATTTTCCTGTAAAAATATGAATTTAAATTAAAATATCTTATTAAATGATGAGAAGAAAGTAAAAAAAATTCATTTGTTCAAAAAGTTTCAGCTCTTTATTTCCTTTCAGAAGTATGAAAGAAAACGCAATATATCCTGTTAGTATTACTTTTCTTATTTTATTCTTCAAATATATAAAACTTAGATTTTTCAACACTTGTACACATTTTATTAAATTTAATTTCTTATTTATTTAACTTGTAGAATATTTTGTAATCATCGACTTTTTATAAAAACCTAATTGAAATAGACGAACAACAAAGCAGTTTAAAGTTTCAAATGTAAAAATTACTATTTCTGACCAATCCCGAATACAATTCGTTAATCAGAAGTTTGTCTTTGTTCTTGCAAGGATTGAAATTATATTTTGATTGGTTCTACCACGGATACAATATTAAATATATAAATATTAACATATAATTTATATATTCTAATTATATTTAAATTTGTCAATAGCAAACAAAATTTTAAAACTATCGTATATAAATATGTTAGAACAAGAAGGAAAGAAAAAAAAATTATCTATGTTGTAAAATAAATAATTCGACTAATTTGAATGTTTCTATTTGAAATCATGATTCCAGGAACTATCCGCTAGATGACACTATTATACGTTTTATTCAAATCCGCATATCGTTTACTATTTTTTCAATTAATATAATAAGGAATATAAATTATTTTTAATGGAAAACAATTTTATATTTTTTGTTTTAATTGGTTTATGTAAAAAAAAACAAACAAGATAACGATAATGATCAAATTTTGGACAAAATTAGTAAAATTTAATAATTGCAAAAAAGGAAAAAATATTAGGAATCATAGATTTGCGCACACAATTTAATGAAAAATGAATAATATTTTATATACTGTTTGTTGTTGAAGAGATATATTTAAGAAAATGTAAATTTATTAAAAAAAAAAAACAATTTTAATGATAAAATATTAACGTGAAAAAGATTTAACGTGAAATATTATAAAGATAATGCTTTCAATAGTCTTACAAACCGTTTGTTTTCTCGTAAACTAATAAAAATATCGACTTCATTTTTGCAGTAATTACTAGTACCGTTTATTTTCTAATAGATAACAAATTTTTTTAGTTATATTTTAAGAGAAAATAAAGGTGCCCATAAATTATTTTAAATTGACTTTTGTTGTTGTTCTGTATAGTTTCAAAAGAAAAAGATAAAATAAAATTTTAAGAAAAAAATATTTCGTCTTTAAAAAATTATAAATATTAACGTATTATTTACGTGTTCAAATGATATTTAACTTGTTAATAGCAAATAAAATTTATAAACAAATATATTACAAATGCCTACAAAATTCGGTATAGAAAAATAAATTTTTATTAAATATGAATGGAGATAGATGAAGTAGCATAGTATTTTTTAAAGTATATATTTATTATATGCTATTCTTTTTTTAATGATTATTAATCTCGTGCAAGATAACTAATGTGATAAAAAATTTAAGAACAACAAAATGATGCTTTTTACAAAATTCTATTTTTTTTTAATTATATACTTGGATATAAATCTTTTTAATAATTATGTTTAATAATTAATTGAAATATTTAACGTAAACATCTGGACATTTCTTTTATTTGTTAGCGAAATATTTGATCTAATTATAGAATTACATTGGTAGTCTAAATGTTATTCTTAGATTACCCTGGAAGCTGCAATTCTATGTGACCCTGACAAATCGAAGTACAGTACATTGGCGTAGTACAATATAAAATGATTGAAATGGTACGTAAATCGAAAATGATGTGCAGATAATAATATAATAATATAATATTCAGAAAGAAAATCGAATAATAAAAGGTTGACTTTTTTTCAAAATTTATTTATAATATTTTTTAAATGAACTATTTCTATCATACTCATTGGACAAGGTTGCAATGGTGATTTTAAAAGATATCATTATATATTTATCTGATAATAAGGGTACGTTTGCTCAGATAAATCGAATACACATATGACTTATCTCTTCATACTATTCCATCTAATGCTGCCGTTATTTTCCTATACTTACAATTAATGATATTTTGAAAAATTACATAGTTATAGTTTATATAAATTGTATTTTGTTTATCAAGAATTAAATAACGATATCTTTGATGTTGTTTATGCTTTGAGGTATGGAAATAGATAAAACAGGAAAATAATTATTAACGATAATTGTTTATCAATTTCTAGGTATAAATGCGATAAAGACAAGACTATAATCGAAACGTGAGTTTATCATGACATTATTCGATATTATGAGTAAATACTTAATTATATTATATACATATATATATTATTTATATGTTTGTTTCTTCTTCAATCGTAATTTAAAATGTTACTGTAGATAAATGAAAAACTATACGCGAAAGTCGGATAAAATCTTTTTTTATAAAGATATGCTTGAGTTCTTAGTTTAAAACTTATATAATCGAGTAATAGAAATTTAATACTTCATGTATCGAGTTTATTACAACGAGGTAGAATAGCCTTGAAACTTATTTGTTGTATAAAGGTACACATATATGCCGATTCTATAAAGAGGACCAAGTTTTATTCATAAAATTACAAAAGTTACTCAAGATAATTTAAAAAGAAAAATAAGAAATTAGCCTTGAATAAGTCTTAATAAAAAATAATTGATATTTTGAAAATAATCTAAGAATTTTGGTCCAGTCAAGAACTTTTGGCTCATCCTGTATATATAAAATACATATGTACGAATATATTTGTATATAAATATGTGTTTTGAAACCGGTCCTAGGAAATATCAGCAAAATATTAATAATCCTATGACAAATTTTTGTTCCCAAGTGTTGTTTGAAAAATTTCGAATGAAAAAAATGGCATAAAATAACTATAAAAAAAAAGAAAAAAAAAAAAAAAAAAAAAAAAAAAAAAAATGCGGTTTTAAAATGTACGTTTTATTTATGTCTCCGATATAATAATTTTTTGTAAAACTCTTAAGCAGTTAAACAAGTGGTCGGAATGAAGATAGAAACAAATAAATTATATAAACGACCGCGGCGATGTGATGACAGTTGTGGAAAAAGACTGATAACGTAAAAATGTTGCAAATCATGGATGCTAGTTTGTACCTGCGGTACAACACATGCATATACGTTCATATGTATATAAATACAAACATCGGTACAAGGTGTCTCAAAAGTTGCTTTACCATGCTGAAAAATGACAAATATTTCATTAATAGATATTTGGAATGGTGGGATCGTGGTTTAATATTTTATTAACCATACTGTGTAACAGAAAATTCATATATTCAAATGAAAAATAAAATATTGTAACTCTTGTAATAATTAATAAACCAATATTGATTTTTTTGTTTTATTTCCATTTTCTCGGTAAAGAGACTTTTGGAAGATCCTGTATATATGTATACATATATTATATATATACACAAGTACATGTACGTTACATAGTTGCATACATATTACATATGTGGATCCAATGCTGATGTCAGTTACAGAAACGAGGATCAGTGGAATGGACGTTCGATTCGCGTTCCATGTAATATGTGGAACTCGATATTGCTGGGATTGGTTAAAGTGTTGCCTCATTGAATCATGAACCGTATCTTCAAACTTACATAGATAATTTTTTCTTAACTTATATAACATATGTTAACATATATGTAAGTACTTACTTGCTTACATGTATGCACCTAAGTAATCATATATACATGACATTAATAATGATATACAACTCGATACAATTACTACATCTTTCAATTTGCGTTATTCATTTTTATTGTTAACTACAATTGCTCAAGGAAAAGAAAGGATATAAAGAATGACGAAGGTCGATCATATAACGGGTACGGAACAAATCGTTAATAAGAGTATCTTATAATTAAATCGAATAAAATTTATATGAGATTAGGTACTTACACATTAGGTAGAGTAATTAACGTCTGTGTTCGTCAGGAAAGATGCAAGTAGATTGATGTTAAATATTTTCCGAGCAAAAGTCATTCTACGATATGCATTATATATGTGAATAAACAAAATTTGTCATTTATATAATAGATTATATAGAAGAGAAAATAAATAACGAAAAGATTATTCAAATAAACATATAAATAATATAGAATAAATGTATATATATATATATGAATATATAATAAATGTATCATATCACCAAACTGTTAAATTATACTGAATCGGATATCATCGACTGTCAACGTTTCAAGCAAGTTTTGCAGCGTTAGCCTCGCGATACTGCAGTATTTTTACCCTTGAGAAGTTAACAAGTAATCGCAACACGAGCTAACTATGCTGCGGTTCATATGGAATCGTTACTTCCAACTTTCAAGCTTGCTTGCGTAGATTTACATTCGTGACCGATCTTGACAGTTTCATTCTCGTTTTTCTTTAACCAGATAATATATTTTCATTATGTGACATTATTTATTATCTATTTCTAAGATTTCAAACCTCTTATCCTTTTTTTCTTTTTATTTCTTCCTCCTCATTATCAAAGGAATGAAATTTGTATATACCTAATACATATCTATGTAAAAAAAAAAAAAGCAACAAAATATCCTATAAAAATGTTTATCCTTTTAATGAACAATAAGTTACTTTTTTTAATCACGATTCGTAATTAATAAGAATTTACGATCGACATAAATTATGTACGTATAGGTAGGTACTTAGAATTTCCGTGACATGCGTTTTGTACGTTGTGTATCGAATTAGAGTTCTTATAACGTCTATTTCTAAAATGTCAAATAGACGTTATGTTGTTTGTTGATTACCTAGGAATGCA